TACTTTCTCAGGGAAACTTCCCTTGACCCCCTAGACTAGATCAAGTTTATTATCCACACTCACAGAACAGTATTCCTGGCTTCCATGTCCAGACAGATAAGTCTGTAACTGCTTTCATTAGGACTAATATTTGATGGCTGTCTGTCTCCTGCAGTAGACTATAAATCCTAGTTCACAGAGCACGGGCCATGTCTGTTTCTGCTCACCATAACATACTCAGAGCCTGGCACAATGACTGGCAATCACTGAAAACTTGTGGGATGAATCAACCCACGTACCCGTTCACTCATGGCAGGCAGAGCAGTAAGGTCAACCATGACTTTGAAGCCAAGGTGCTATGGTCATATGTATAGACAGTTATTCCCGAGCTTCTTTGCCAACTTTGCTTCAGCGAATATCTAGTTCCTCAACTACTAGTCTCCAAACCCTGTTTCTCCCAGAATACAAGCAAATTAAGGGACTGTAATGGACACTGTTGATATGACACCCATTTCCCCCTTTAGGACTGAAAGTCTTATTCTCCCAGCTGCTGGGAGTGTGGCCACAGAGAGCCCTAGCTGTTAGCCCCTTTTTGGCATTGGCTTCACTGAAGAGAGGTGATGTGGGGGCTTCATTTCTTTTTCTTTCTTCCTTCCTCTAGCCAAGATCACACTCTTCCTGGGACAAACAACATGCAATGATTGGTCAACATAGGGTATACCTCACCCCAAATCAGGACACCTGTAAGACTCCCTGTGGAAACATCCTCAGCCTTCCTTGAAACTGCATCATACCCTCTTACCAGTCCTGTTTAAGTCTTCTTCCTTCCACAGGTGATGATCCCAAGAGCATTCCCTGGTAAACCTAATCATCTCAAAATCTGCTTCCCAAGAAGCCCAATCTGTGACACACAGTTTTTACTCCCACGTTTTCTTGAAGATCATCACCACATGGAACTGACAAGATCCAAGGTCACAAAAATGAAGTTCCCAGGGGTGCTTGGGTGGCTCAGTCGGTTAAGCATCTGCTTTCGGCTCATGTCATGATCTCGGGGTCCTGGGGTTGAGCCCCACATTGGGCTCCCTGCTCTGCAGGGAGTCTGCTTCTCCCTCTCCCTCTCATTTGTGCTTTTTCTCTCTCAAAGAAAGAAATGAATGAAGTCCCCACATCACCTCTATTCCTCAGGGAGATAACTCATGAAAGAGATCTAAGCTGGAAAAAAGACATTTCCTATTCTTGGCACAAGCTGTGTAGCCAAACAGACCTAAATTTGAAACACTGTTCCATACTTGAGGCTTAAGATAACCTCCCTAAGCCTCAATTTCATCATCTGGAAAAAATATAGATATTTAGTATCTTCTTCACAGATTTGCTTTGTATAAAATACCTGGTACATATGAAAGCTAAGTTCCTTTTTCGCCTGTCTCCTGTCCTGACCCTCTCCTCCAACAAACAGTAGTCCAAAATGCCTAGAAGAGGAAGGCTGACTGGGTTGGAAACAACTTTTTACTGGCTAGAAAGTTGTTGCTTAGACCTACCACAGCCCTTCTCAATACCTCCACTTGTTCTTTCCCAAAAAAGAGGTAGCATTTGTTATAAATCAGGCCTCAGTATGATATTCATTACCTAGAAAAATCCCACCCCTCCTAATAACCTTGCTAACTTTATCTCCTCCTCCCCATCCTATATGTACCTTACCCTCCAGCCAACCATAACTAGAGATGATTTTTCCAGAAGTCTAAAAATTGGAAACCAAACAACAGAACTATGGTAAAATATTCTTAAACATTCTACAATTTTTAAACCATGATTTGGTATAAGGTATGTAGTAATAGTGTGACCAACTGGCAACCTAACAGTGGCACAGACTGAACAACAGAACAGGGTAATGCAAACTACAAGGACTAGCTCCCTGACAAGGTAAAAACTGTGACTTTATGTTTTAGCAGATGACATCTATCATAAAGTTAAATCCAATCATGTCTATTACCTATCAAAACTCGTTTGGATCATCAATCTCTTGTAGATTTAAGATACTCAAAAACCCAGAAATGGCCTTTCATAAGCCAGTACAGGTACTGGATATTCTGGGACACAATCCTCTACTATATTTGCTTTTTTTTTTTTTTTTAACACACTCTAGTTCTCCCCAGCCCTGTTGAGTTTTTTCCTAACTAATAACTCCATAGGCTCTTCTTAAATGTCACCTTCTCCATGAAGTCTTCCCTGTTCCAGCCAGAAAAACAACTATTTTCCTGCTCAAAACACTCAGAGATCTTACATGTATATTACACCTTAGTGTATTTCTTCTGTTTTATACCTTTCTAGTGATGGAATTAATGTGTACAAGATGGCCCATAAACTTTGAGATACTCTAAGAAGAAATTTACACATTTTGCAGCAAATGATCCTCAAAGAATAGAACTCAAAGTATTATCTATAATGAGAAATATAGGGGTTTTGGGGGGAGGTCTCCTTTAATTTTTTTTAAAGATTTATTTATTTGACAGAGAGAAAGCACAAGCAGGGGATGGCAGGCAGAGCGAGAAGCAGGCTCCCTGCTGAGCAAGGAGCCGGATGTGGGGTTCAATCCCAGGACCCTGGGATTACGACCTGAGCAGATGCTTAACTGACTGAGCGACTCAGGTGCTCCTACAATGAGAAATATGAACATACAGAGAAAAGACGTGAAATCAGTATGTAATTCTGTTCACAAATTCTGACTGGATAAGAACGAAGACACACGTTCTAATATGTTATATTTTAATATCATGCAAAGAAAGCTGAAAATGAAATTGACTATTACAATTTGATGCTGTCCTATAATTTATTCTTATAATTCAGAGTTGAAAATCCAAGTATGCTCAAGTATGGGCATGAAAATCACACTCGATACCAAGTCCAGTGCAAATGAAACAAGTTCAAGTTATCTGACAGCTATGCAAATCAAACCCCGTTGTCTATCGGGTGTCCTTTAATGGAGCAGAAACAAAAGTTGTCAAATAAAGAACAGGAGTGGATTTTAGGGCAGAAAGTATTTGCTAGCAATTCTCATCATCTTTCAGAGATAAATTTGTCAAAGAACAAGAACTGGTAAGAAAGTCCTTTCACACCCTGGAAAGATCTATCTTCAAGTGTGTTATTAATTTTTTTGATTAGAAAAAGATATACTGTATGCCAAGCTGGTAAGAAGAAACAGTAGTACTGTAAACCGTAAATAGTCTAACAACTACCTTTACAAAACAAGAACAAATCATTGGCTTGAGTTCTTTTCAAAGAGATAAAATGTATTCAAATACCCAGACATGAGAAAGAACTAAACTTCATTTTTTAACTTCTTTTTAGATTACATTTTTTCACATTCTTATATAGTCAATTACCAAATCCCAACAACTTTTACTGAAAAAGTTTCCCTAACTCCCCAGACTTCATTATTACATACCTATGATGCTGTGATCATTTTCTAATTTTGACTCTGGTTATCTTCCTTTCAAGCTTCCCCCCCTTGCATTATTTGCATCCTTGCCTTACTCAAAACCCTACAAAAGGTTCCTCACTTCTTGCAGACTAAAGTTAAGACATCCCTATTTCACCGTATAATATGAGTATATGGTTCCAAACTTTTTTTTTTTTTTACACAAACCCTCTGCTCTAGGCATAATAATCTCCTTTGTTTTCCAGGACACACCATGTTAATATGCATTTTCAGTCTTGCATTTCTGTTCCACTCTCCATAATAGACTATGCTAATGCCTCTGTCCACCCATCCAATTGTGTAAGGCAAACAATATTCACTAAGCATTTACTGTGCTCCAAGAATTAATGCATCATCTCAAGTTTCACCATTTTTTCAAGCTCTTTCAATCTGCAAGGGAGATCTCCTTAATGATTCTCCTCCATTTGGCATGCGGTAGGAGAAATACCCTAGGAGAAATTCACCCCAGCCTTTTGGGTTATACTGATATATCTGTGAGAAGTCAAATGAGTGCCAGAGAGTAAAGCTGAGGTTGAAGAATAATAGATAAGAGATCATTCATTCATTCATCCATTCCATATCTGTTGAGCAATTACCATGTGTCAAACACAATTCTGGTTGGGATAGGCAAGGATCCCATTCTCATAGAATGTGTGTGAGTGCACCCACACTAGAGAGAAGGAGGTAACCAACACTGAACACATGAACATACAATCACTTTAGACTGTGACAAGTGCTTTGAAAAATATAATACAGGTTTGACATGCTAGCAACTGATCATAAGGGAGCTTTTTTAGAGAGGAGGAGAGGAAGCGCCCCTCAGATTTAACTGATGAGAATTCAGCCATGTGATAAAAGTTAAAAAAAAAAATTAAAAAACCAAAGGTCCTAGTTCAAAGACTGCCATAATCACATTTTGTACACAGGTCTCATGAAAGTCCCTTAAGAGGCAACACTCCTCGATATGAAAAATTAAAGACAAATACTGTGCTCACTCAGGGCTAATCAAGATTGCTGCCTTTACAAAAAATACTCTAAAAAACACTCCAGTTCAATGGCCTCTCCTTCTGGTGCGTTCAGAGCTCTCTCAGCTCTCCTGAGAACTCCAATAAGGGCCATCAACCTAAAAGAACACGTTAAGGGTACACAGGGACCCGTTCTACTTTCTGGCCGAGAATACTGTACATGAAGCAGATACTCAACTTCTTTATATAGACTCACGACTAAAATCACTTTCACCAAAAGGAGATACAGAAATTCTTCAGCCTGGGGTAAAATACACCGCTCAAGTCGGAGAACGCCATCACAAGACCCCAGAAAAACCACACAGTGGGGAAAGGAATGCGTTCCAGGCAGGTTCGGACTCCTAATTGTCTCAAAGACTGCGTCCCTCAACTAACTGCCTCGCCTGCAAACCAGTTTGCACATGTGTAGCTCTAACGAGAGAGCCGTAGAGAACTTTAAAAGGCTTACGGAGTGGGACAGTTTCAAGTCACTTAAACTACTTAAACTAGGAGGAGCGCAAGCCGGAGCCGCACGAACGTACCTTGACCAGCCACACTCCGGTGTTCTGTTTGGCGCCAGTCAGATCGAGTTCCCCACGCTCCGCCATGGGTCTGTTGCCGGTTGAGACGAGCGGACGAGAACAGCGACCCGGAAGCTGGGGCCTGCGGTGCAAAGGACCGTAGAACAGTGTATGCCACGGCGACTATGAAGAAACCGAGTCCACCCGCCAAGATATAGGGAATCCCCGGAAACAGAAACAGGCCGCTGGGAGGCGGGAACTGCGCCTGCGCGCTGCTGCCGTCAGTACGGCGCGCCGGTATGGACAAACGTCCTAGTTAGGCACATTCTTGAGTGGGCGTGGTTATGGTGGCCGGTTGCGTCTGAGTGATTAAGACACCGGCCAGGATGAAACAAAATGTCCACAATCCATTTAAAGACCAGGTCAGCATAAGTGAAGAAAGGCAGCGTCAAAACAGAAAAATGGGGTTCAGAGAGACAAAAGCTGTCAGTATGTGTCCATCGCTGGCCAAGAAGAGAGAAACAACATTTTCGAGGACGGGGCGGGGTGGGGGGCAATAATAAAAAGAGTAAGTGAATTAGCACACTTGGGCATTGGGATCGGACAGTGCAGCGCTGGGAATACTGAAAACATTTTCAGTGTTTGTAGATCCGGAAAAAAAAAAAAAAGGAGGGTCTCAGGTGAGAGGCTATCTTGAGCACTTCCAATTCAACAAGCAGAGCACACCCCTTTCAGACTCCAAAACTCAGAGTCCATATAATTAGATCAACGACAAACCTTAGACCTGTAAGACAAACCTGATTGTCAAACTCCCGGGCTTAAACAGTTTCCTTTCTGTCTTCTTGCCTCTAGCATAAAATTCCCCATCCTCTCTTCGAAGGCCCTCTCCATTTGATCCCTGCCACTTAATCACACATCGAACCACACCGAAACGTCAGACCTCCCCGAACACATCAGGATCTTCTTCCTCATTATTTCAGAGATCTGCACACTCCCTTTTCTCGAAGATAGATGCCCTATTCCCCCCTTACCCTCCTTCTCACCTCTGTCCTCTGATTGGCAAACTCCTACTTGGGTTTCAAGACTTATGGAAATGTCACTTCCTAGGAAACCTTTTATTAAATTCCCCAGAGGAAGTGTTTTTTTTTCACATCACAGTGTGATACTTATCACCCTGCACTACTATATACATGTTTACATGCTGCCTTTGCTTTCTAGACTATGAGCTCCTCCTAGATGGAAATACAGTTTTATTCATGTTGTATCCACAACAGCTAGTACAGTACTTGACACACTGTCAGATTTCAATAGGCTTTAGCTGAATGAACATTTCCTGAAAGAGAAACAAATAGTAAAATATTGTAAGAATGGCAAGTGATGTATGAATCAAACATCAGAGCCATACACATAATTGAGGAAATTCCATGTCTGTGCAGCATAGAGCCAGGAAAAGTTGTCAGGTTTCTGTGATCAGCTGAGAAAACTGATAGGAAAGATGGAAGACCAGGCATGGGTTGAAAAGGAAGGTTACAGTCTTGTGTCACAGCTTACAAAAAGGCCTTAAAACATATAAAGGGTGAAGAGAGTTGCTTTGAGCTGTGATCCAACAGAAGGAATAAATTGAAATATGAGACCATGAGACAAGGGAATTAATGTAGCCTGGAGCACCCTAGTAATGGACTTTAAAGGATTACGATCTAGGGGCGCCTGGGTGGCTCAGACGGTTAAGTGTCTGCCTTTGGCTCAGATCATGATCCCAGGGTCCTGGAATGGAGCCCCGCATTGGGTTCCCTGCTCAGCAGGGAATCTCCTTCTCCCTCTGCCTCTCCCCTCCCCCCCCAGCTTGTGCTTTCTCTCTCTCTCAAATAAATTAAAAAAAAAAATTTTTTTTTAAAGACCTTTGATCTGTGGGTCATGGGAAGACTTAAAATGAGTGTGTGTGTGTGTATGTGTATACAGGGAATGAGAGAGAACAAATGGGTAAAGAAGAAAAGGCTAGAAGAAAAAGGGCAAGTTTGTAAAGTGATTACAGAGGGTGGGGTGCTTGGCTGGTTCAATAGTAGAGCATGACTCTTGATCTCCAAGTTCTTAGTTCAAGCCCCATGTTGGGCATAAAGCTTACCAAATCAATCAATCAATCAATCAACCTTTAGAGAGCCAATTCCAGAAACCCAGAACCAATTCAGAAAATTCATCCTAAACATACAGTTCCTCTAGAACCACTCTCAATACCAAAATCTGTATAAGTTGAGGTTTTCCAGAGAAACAAACACGCACACGGTTAAAAAAAAAACAAAAAACAAAAATTCAACTGAGTAAAGTCAGTTGGCTTTATTAAGCAATTCATGAATTAAGCAGCATTCCATCTAGCAAGTAGAGAGGAGCTCCTAGGAGTTGCACAAAATGGAAGGCTTTTTATAGGAAGGAGGGTAGAGCAAGGAAGTTACCGGCAAAAGAAAAAAAGAATCATTCCGGTTCCAGGCGAGTCACTTCCCTTAGGGAGAGGGTAGGGAGGTCTTATTAGGTGGATCACCTGATCTTACTTTGGGGGATAGAGAGGGCTCATGTGACAGATTACCTCATTGGTGCTGACCAAAAAATTCCTGACTGATCAGTTAAAACTACATTTCTGAGGGGGTTTGAAACTGCAGTTAGGTGACGTATTCAGCCCCAGTTTGATAACTTGGCCTGACAAAGTGACTCCTTGTTGGGCCTGAAATTTAATTTAAATTATACAGAGAGACAAGGATAGAGACCTACTATAAGGACTTGGCTTATGTGATTATGGACTCCGAGAGTTAGTTCTAAGACCTGCAGTTGGCAAGCTGGAGACCACGAGAGCTGATGGTACACTTCCAGTCTGAGGCCCAAGGCCTGAGAGGCAGGAGAACTAATGGTGTAAGTTCCAGTCTGAGTCTAATGTGCCAGCTTGAAGAAAGGCAGAGAAAGGGAATTCTCCTCTGCTGAACATTTTTTTTTTAATTAGGCCTTCAGTGGATTGGATTAGGCCCACCCACATGAGAGGACAATCTATTTTATATAGTTTACTGATTCAAATGTTAATCCATTCATTAATACCCTGACAGACACACCCAGAATAATGTTTGACCAAATATCTAGGCAATCCTAGGCTCAGTCAAGCTGACAGATAAAACTGATCATCAGAGATACAGGGTTCAGTGCCCAAAAAAGATAACTCCAAAGTCCTTTATTCTCCCAGATGATTGACTAGTCAAGTTCTTGTTAAATCTTTTAAGGCACAAATGCAAGCCAAAGAGGGAAGGCTCAAGAACTCACTGCTGGCTGAAATTTTTCCCAAGAAGTCAGTAGGGAATTCTGCCAGACCTTGTAAATTCAGAACATCACAATTCTATCATGTAGGCGCTACAGTATAATCAACACTCTCATTAGAGGAGATGCTACAAGTGAGTTGAGAGAATTAGAATATTAACAGTAGCTGAGTCTTGTAACCAAACTAACCTGAGTTCCTTGGTGAGTTACAGGTAGAGACCACACCAGGCAGAGTTGTTACACAATGTAATCTTTATTAGCAGCAAATATGGAGATCATGGGGAATAACTTCCAAAGCTGTGACTCCTGGAGCAGGGGTGAATAGGTTCTGTTTATTTAGGGTTTGGGATGAATATTTAGAAAGGGGAGATTTGTCATTGCACGTAAAGGCGGGAAAAGTTTGCACAGGAAAACATGCCTATGCTGCAGGCATCCTATGTTATGTCAATGAAGCTTGTGTTCCTCCTTGGGCAGAGACTTGAACACTATAATGAAGCAGAGGTAACTGTGGGGCTTTGGACATGCTCTGAGAGTGGTACAAACTAGATGGTGCCTTGGCTCATCTCATCATTTTCCTAGGTAAGGAATGCAGGGTCTTGCTTACTTTTGAAACAGCCCTGGGACTTTTACCATTGATGTATTGTCTCTGATATGGTTAGGTTATTTCCTGGCCTGGTAGAGACTGTTCATCTATGCATTTGTTTTGTTCCCTTAAAAATCCTTAACTACTGAGGTTTGTGCATTTCTTTGTAATTCTGACACCTCCTAGGAAGTTCTGCAAGAAGTGTGCTAAGGCAAGTAGAGCCTTAAGGCATAGATCACAGAAACTAGCTGGGGACCTAAAATGACTTTGCTTGTGTCATGAAAGCTATGTCTCAAGTCTTTCTTTTTCTGGGGACCCTAACTCTTTCTGCTTGTAAGTCCACTCACAGATATTGTCCCTGGCCATACCACATGGGCCCAGTGTTTTTCCAGGCCAGAGATTCTATTTGTTCATACACAAAACATTCTAGCAAGGCAAAGACCACCACCATAGAACTCTCCTTAATAAACTAAACTTACTATGTATTGGTTATTTTTTTTAAGATTCCTATTTTCTTTAAGTAATCTCTACAACCCAACATGAAGCTCAAACTTACAACTGTGAGATCAAAAGTTGAATGCTCTACTGAGTCAACCAGGTGCCCCTGAATTGGTTATTAATATTAAGATTTTCATGCACCCTAATATTTATAGCAGTATTATCAACAATAGCCAAATTATGGAAAGAACCCAAATGTCTATCCATTGATGAATGGATAAAGAAGATGTGGTATATTGGGGTGGCACTGTTCGTTGAGCATCTGACTCTTGATTTCAGCTCAGGTCACGATCTCAGGGTTGTGAGATGCAGCTACGCAGTGGGGTCGTGCTCAGCGCAGAGTCTGCTTGAGGTTCTCTCTCCCTCTCCCTCTGCCCCTCCTGCTCATGCTCTCTCTCTCAAATAAGTAAATAAATCTTTAAAAAAAAAAGGAAGATGTCATATATAAATGCAATGGAATATTTCTCAGCCATAAAAAAGAATGAAATCTTGCCATTTGCAATGAAGTGACATGGATGGAGCTAGAGACTAGTAGTATGCTAAGGGAAATAGAGAAAGACAAATACCATGTGATTTTACTCATATGTGGAATTTAAGAAACAAAACAAATGAACATAGGTGGAGAAAAAGAGAGAGGCAAACCAAGAAACAGAAAACTCTTAACTACAGAGAACAGTCTAGAGGTTAAATGGGTGATGGGCATTAAGGAGTGCACTTGATATGATGAGCAGTGAGTGTTGTATGTAAGTGATGAATCACTGAATTCTACATCCGAAACTAATATTGCGCTGGATGTTAACTAGCTGGAATTTAAATAAAAACGCGGAGGGTAAAATGTGGTTCCAATTA